TTTGTTGATTTGATCTCTGAATTATCACTTGACAGTTGTTTACCGTTTTAAACAGTGTTTTTATTTCATTAATCACATTTAAAGGTACACTCCATGGGTTTGTAAATCTCCAAATTGCTTATTTTTGTCATCCACAACTTGCATAACCTTACATCTTAAAATGATTTAACTCTTAAATTTTGTTTCTTGAGCATACCTGATGTTGATATTTCCATTGGAGCTTATAGGAAAATGGTCGCTGTTAAATGACTAAAGCTAAAATCAACCATTATAAATTTTTTAAAGGGTCAAACCCCACTACAGAGAGGGATAGATAAATTATTATTTAGTACACAAACGTTGTTTATTTTCCCTGGAAAATCCATGTGGCGGGTATAACATATAGAGTGTACTTTTAACACAACTTACGATTAAGAAAAGTAAAGAAACTGATAAAGATATCCAAATATTTATATCATTCTTCTCAATTAAGAACATGCAGCTACTCAAAAATAATTTTCCACAATAATTTTCATAGTAGTAAACAAAATGGCCATACAATCCAAAGCACGCCACCAAATGTCATAAAATTTATACACAATTAGCACCAGAATGTGTCCTGAAAATGTCACGTGTCTGTTTACGCGTGCATCTCCGGCGGCTAGCAATTATCTCCTGTAGGCGTATGTTTAAAACCATCTAGCTATATTTTGTTGAAAGTGGAGAATACGGCTAAGTGCGGACGGTGCTTCTTCTTCATCCATCTTTGTGTCATTGCGCTCTACCTGTTAAATGGTAACTTGTGTGTCTTGTAACTGTGTCATCATAATACAAGGTTTCACAGCAATGTTGTACAATGTTTGAGCCTTGTTTAAGCGTTCCTGTTTCGAGACCACCGGTGGAACCAGAGTCTTGAGAAAAGAGACAGGAGCAAAAGGAGTTAGCTACATCCCGATTCAACGATACAACGGATATTGATCATAGCATTGTGATGTATCGTTTTTTGAAAAACTTAAAATCAAGGGCCATTTTGAAAGGTAGGTACAGTACATGTAGTTTTTAAAAAATATTTTCACAAGAAGGCAGGCCCGTCATTTTGTTTTTAAAACGAATAAAGTGGCCGCCTTTCCACATTTCCCTCCACCTAAAATTCATCATAAATTCATTTTAATTGTTAAATAGTGTTGGCTTACCCAGGTGTTCTCATTTTGACAGCTAAGTACCACTATTTTCTTTTATAACCAAATTGCAACAATCCAGAGTAGTCTAGTTAGTCATTCAGTTAGCCGCCAACAGTCGTCACAAATAGAAAGGTAGTTAGTCTGTCTGTCTGTATTTGCCATTCTTTTTCAAATTCGGTTGAACTGAGTTGTAAGGCGATTTTAAATGCCAATCACTATCTGAAAACCTAAACATTGTATTCATCTAATGTAAGGTAAACCAAGACTGCACTGAACTAAGAAAGAGCCTATAAGAAGACATCTAGTGTCTTGATTAATTGTTAATCTTTGCAATGAATGCTATTCTTACCTACTTCTAAATAAATGTTTATCTCTGTGGAATTCTATCGTGTGAGATTATACGATGGGAGACAATTGGAGAAGACGAACAGTATCAGTGAGACATCTGTAAAGATGACTTCTCTTTCTGTCGGATGTCAGAATGGAGCCTGTAAATAATGGACAGTCACATTCATGCATTTGTTTCTATCTTAAACTTGACCTTACAAAAACTGTAGGGGCGGTTATTTATCACCACCTTTTGAAGATTCATAGACCTTTTGAAAAAGCAGTTAAGTAATCGATGCGCTAAATTTACAATTTCGTAATGTCTATAGAACGTTAGATTTTACATTTAACTTTTGGAGTAGTCCCCCCTTCCGTTCTGTTGTCTAATGCTTTGTAAAAACATTAGGCGACCTCTGGCAAAATGAGAAGTTTGGAGCAATTTAGTTGGCAAGAAACTGTTAGCAGGTTGCTGCAAGAAAAATCGTTGCTGCAAATTTGCTGCACATTTTCAAGAGATCTACAGTTTGCAGCAAGTTTGCAAGAAGTCTTCATATCCTTCCAAATCAAAACAGTACCTGATTTGAAAGGTAAATTTCCTCTTGCAAATTCGCGGCAGCAATTTATTTTTGCTATGAGTAAATAACATGTAAAAACATAATATCTAATATCTTCGTAACCAAATGTTTTTTTTAATACAAATCCCCATCGATAACCCATTAACCTTGACAAACTTTTTAACAAAAATCGTCAATATTTTAATGCGAGCAGGACGATTTATGTCTATTTTCTATAGATGAGGTTAATTTGAGTGACAGCCGAAGAGATAACCACAGGATATTATTTCGGAAGAGAATGCAAGAAGACTAACAGAGATAAGATAACATAAAGGAAGTGAATATTTCACAAGAAGAATGAAATTCAACAACAAACATGATTCGAATTGCTTCTCGGTGTCAACCACCCCAGTAAAAGCAGGGCGTGATGAATTATGACAGATTTATACTGTATGCCTGATATACCCGTGAAGTACAGCTGCTGAGTTATCCCCCTCCCCCCCCCCCCCCAAAAAAGGGACAATTTTTCTGAGACCTACATATTGTATTAAAATTGCCTATCGCAATTTTCCTTATGCATCCTACCCCTTGACAAAAACCGTGAATACACCGTAGACCACACTGGAAAAGAAAAAATAACTTAATACACAGAACAGAAGCTAACGATGTACAAGTCAAACCTGTATGCAATCACTCTGCTTTGATGTTACACAGTGTGACGAACACCAAGCTACCTTTTTTAGTACAAAGGTTTGTAAGCTGCTTTTGGTGACAGGATGGAAAATCTAAACGGCAAGAATTTAGAGTATTTGATGTCGTGTAGATTGAAATCTTGCCTTCTCTCAAGGTCCTATCCCTATATATCAATTAGGGCATTTTGAGGACGTCGGGTACATAATCTCCGTGACATTAATCAAATATTTTTAAATAGATCGGGTTGCCGAAAGATGGAGTGGGTAGTTATAGCTATAGTCAGTTGATGAGATTGTGGAAGTCTTTATGTTTTTCTTATAGATATAAAGTGAAAAGTCTACCAGTGCCCCAACCGTCTTGTGCACGAATGGTAATATTAGGGTTGGTTTTTGTAAGCTGTTTGGTTGTTGAATCTTGAATATAACATGGTCTTTGTGGCCCTCTGTACATACCAGACATTTACATAGCTTGGTACAAAGACTAAAACGTGCTGCTGATGAATAAGATTGGAATATCAAAATTGATTTACATTAACATGAACTGCTGACATATTTACATGTATAAATTGCCATTTGCCTAGCATGAGCTATAAACATGTGTATGTGCATATGCAGTATTTATTTTCCAGGTACCCTTCTCCACCATTATGTAATCATTGTATCAACTTTCATAGTCGCCCTAGAAATATTGAAATTTAAGTGAAAACGTTATTAATTTAAAATTATGTGTAAATCCTACTCTCTATTCAAGGGAACACGGCACGCCCTGAGACACAGAACAATACCACATGTACGTAATTCAGCTAATAAAACGTGATAATAAGGAGTCTGAATACTTTTCTCAATACTCAGGATTCGCAAATGTTTGATGTTAATTGTTATCAGTAAGACTGGAATACCAAAAGCAAATCAACTCGCTACAAGCGGGTACATGACAATCACTTCCAGAACCAGAACCACTTTAAACATCAAAGAACGTAGAATATATTCATTCTGATATTTTCAGAAACCACAATGCACCGCACAACAAACTACTTAGGTCCACGTCTAATACTTTACCATTAAATGCAATGGCAAAGTCTGTTTAACAGCACCATTGGCATGCCACGAGTAAAGGAAAGATACATCCAGGTACCTTGAGTAATATGCCACACACCACCATTTAATGTTTCTGCTGCAGGTGTGTTAGGCAGATCACCAGAGCAATACAATGGGCCGTTCTTGCATTTTATTCACTTTTATATGTCATTAAGGCAGGAAGTAAGTAAACAGTATTTCAGTTTGTCAGTCTATTTATTGGATACTTTAAAAGAATTAGCGAGATGATGTTAATAATGGGGGTAAGTGTGTGTAGCTATTAGAGTTTTGAGTATCCGTTCATGAACATCTTACATTAGATCGATTTCAATTTTGCTGATGAGAGCTCTCGAAGACAGCTCTCCAGGTCAGAAGATGAAAGCTTTATTTTGAAGAAACTCTATATGCAAGCAATACTCCCAGTGATGGAATGGGCTCTATAGGATGGTTTGCACGTCCAATTTTCATTATTTGAAGTACATGTAGTCCATGATCTTTGCCAATTTCATATTTCAGTTAAAGTCTGAATAAATGCAGCTGTACCGGTAAGTTTTCCTTAGATTTTGAAGATTTCTTATCATTTTGCTAATAATTGAATTCTAAAATATAAAAAATGCGATTCCTTGCCCAAATATGCCATTGTATAGAAATGTACGCGCAATAATATCACAGGTGTTATGGCTGTATACATTGTATGAACTTGAACATAAATCTCACCAACAACAACCGAGTTATGTGCGTTATATACAGTAATACTTATATATTGTATCAACAGAGCAAAAGTGAACACGACTTAATTAGGGGACAACGTTTTGTCACAGTAAATGCTCTCTGACATATTTAACCAAGCACGATGGTAAATAGATCACATAACCACGAGGGTGACAATTAAGGTATTAATCAGTAATACGAGGTTTTGTCTATCATATACCATATCGCACGATGTTTTATCACCAATATAACTATGAATTTAGCTTTACTTTCTTTATTTACACATATTGATTTCAATTCATATTTTAATACTTTATATACTTCTTAATTAAGGTGACGTCAATGAAGTCGCTCCTAGTAAATATTTAAACATGTACATATAGTTGCTATGACAAGTTGGCTTTGTTAACTCTCTTCCTTTATCTGGAGACCGTGATACCTTTTAACAGCGTGATAAATGACATGCTTGAATACCATAAGTTTCAAGGATGAAACACACCAAAGTCAATGAAAGGAGCTACAGCAACATTGATATCTTGTGGATAAAAAGATACAATGGTACAGATGTATGTCTTTTTTTACAGTTGAACAACATTCCAACTGTCATAAAAACAGGAACTTGATATTGTATCTGCAAAGAAAGAGCCCTGTCAGTTAAGGAATAAGTGGCACTGATAATTATTTTACTGGAATTGATTGCCTGTCGTTTAAGTAAGGCCATGAATCATTGCCTTATTTTGAACTGTTCACACTTGTGATGAATTTAAACACATTTGGATTCGTCCTTCAATGAAAAAGATAAAACAGTGTGTAAGCACGCTTTACAACCAACATTTTCAACCATACAGCGTAATGTGTTCATAAAGAAGAAACTTATTGAAACTATCAACAATTTATACATGACAGGTAAGTTTGAAGCCCACCAACTGCAAGTCAGTAGGTGGAAATCTTACCAATTATAATTCACCGCTATGCTATTGCCATGGGAACAGTAACCTGTGCCTAAACGGTGATATCGCATCCAGAGAGAGATCGAAGTTAATTACGAGCTACGACAGTTTGCTATAAGCTAGTCATTTAAGGTATTTTAAATAGAATTGATCGCAGTAGACAGCAATTAGCCAATTTGCTATTGTCAGAATTTCATTTCATATTTGTTGTTTGAGTATTGTTCGGAATTCATCGGACTGTATCTTCGCCGCTTGCTATAAGCAATGTCAATAACGTTTGAACTGGGTTAATTGAGAATTTTATGACTGATAATACCATCTACAGTGCGTGCAAAAAGCTCAGGATAGATTTTACGTAGGATATAAGTCATAATGACGCATATTCTAGCGTCGGGGAGCAGTGATTGAAAAATCTCTTTATATACAAACTGACCCTCGGACGTACGAAACGGTAATGAGCAACTACCATCTAACGAACAGTGGAGGGCGAAAAGACTGAAATTCCTTTAGGCCTTTGGTAGATCAAAGATGTTTTCTTGGTTTTCAGGAAGAAAGACCTCTGCAAAAATCGCTGGTGTGAAGGAAGTCAAAATAAATATGTTGGCTGAAGAAAGGGGTTTGACATTAGAAATGACCAAGCCATCGACAGAGCCACCCGCTCATGATGACAACTTCAGTGGAGCCGTATGTCATATGCGAGACAGTCCTTTTAGAATATTAAAGGTAGGAGTACGAACTGCAGCACTGCGTATCATCGCAAGTTCACTTTCTGTAACTGAATATGAAGAATTTTTTTCAAATTAATTTTTCATCCGTTTATTTTCATTCTTTTTAATGTTTATGATTTATTGTTTTTTACAGTTTCATTTTATTTCCACTGTTCATTAGTTTATTTATTTGTTATAGAGATTTATTTGCCATAATTTCATTCACTTATTGAGAAACCCAAGCGACAAACACTGATACAATGGAAAGAGAATACACGCAGAGTACATTACAGTCATACGCAGATGTCTGCACTTGCCAAAATCTTGATGGTATTTCTTTACAACTGCTCATTGACGAACCCTGGTCTTCTTTTAAACATCACTGTGAAATTGGTATATCATCATAAAATGAATTTTAACAGGCAACGGTATAGATAATAAATAGATAAATGAGAGAAATAATTTTTAAAAATATTACGTGCGTCAAAGCACAAAAGCTTGTCGAAAGTCCTTTACTCTAACAGATAATACCAAACAGAGGAGTTGATATGAAAACAAATTGCGGATATTTATTTATTTATTACGGATGCAATATTAACACAATAGATATAAACAAGAGACCCAGAAGGGGGTGGACAAAGAACTGTATCCCATCTAATTTTCCCACTTAATCTAATTTTCCTAGACAATAAAAATTTCTTTCTATTCATGCATCATTGCACAGCCCATGCACTTCGATTCGATGCTTTATACCATTCCTAATCAAATAATTAAACCCTAAATGAATGGCCAGTCGCTTAAAATGTCATGTTTTGTAGTACACTATAGAGGGAAATATCGACATCAGATGGTTTTATTTGGGTTTTTTCAGGCCTGGCTTAGGAAAGATAAGTGCCTATGCAGTATATGTTGACATAGATAGTATGACATTTAGGGCATTCAAATACGGATAGTATACCATTACATTTGCATAGGAAGACATCTCTTATAACTCCTCGCTCCTGGCGACTATCATAAAGATAAAAAAGCATTCGTTCCCGCAGATCGACTCGCTGTCAAAACCAGGAAATTGAATTCAAGATGCTCAGTCTGAGAATATTGAATTTTTCGTAATGGTGAATCAACACACATGCCTGTGCCTGTAAATCAACATATGGCTGTAGTAAACTATCCGTTCCCTTTTATCATCCATAAATCAGATTCTATATGATAACTTTTAATTTCTCATGGGGGAGGGGGCATTGAGTGTGGACTGGCATACACCTTTTAGGTGATCACTTCAGCAATTTCCAGGGATATCGTAAAGAGTTGGGGAAATAAATAGTTTATAGGTAAACAATTTGCTTTTTATGCCATTGCAAGCTTTGAAAATACTTTTTACTAACGTAGATATGCAAACCGTATATATGCACATTTGAAGCCTGTGGTATTATCCATTTGGATACGTTTTATCATAACATACACTGTATGTTGCAAATACGTGATTGGAACAAGTATCTCTGACGCCATACTTTATGTAAACGCGCAACTCAATTTTTACTGAGGTACATCAATATATTTTTAATTTCTTGACGAAACTTCACTAACATTTTTCATTTTGGAATTTCATGATAGCAATCTTACGCTTGCAGCAGACAATGGATACTGTTCAAAAAAGAAAGAAAGAAAGATAAAAGAAAGAAAGAAAAGAAAAGAAAAACTGTAATTCGTTGCACAGCTTTTTTATGGTCATGCCATCAACCTGTGAGAATCGAGATTGTCGCCTGTTAATTAGGAGGATAACCGCTATCACCTTATTTAATTGTGTGGTCAGTAATTGGATGAAACTGTCAAATGCAGATTAAACTGTCAGTGGCATCAAGACGGAAGTGTCACGCAATACGCCATCGCCATGCATACCACACCATTGACTCCACAATCTGTATCGACCCAATCTTCAAACTTGAATTAAGGTACATTGTAATACAGCCCTACTATTACTTTTTTTTTTTTTTTTTTTTTTTTTTTGTAATGTGATACAAGATAATAATATGCCTAGAGATAATGAAGATATGGTGGAGTTTTCACTGCCCCAAAGATATTAACCCACCCACATTCAGCCAGTTTTAATAGTATACTACAGTTATTCTTGGGAGTATTATTGAAATCTTAGTTTGCGAAGGGAAACACTGGCTACCTAATTAAAATGACGAAAGTGATAAACCTATTTCATTATGAAGGCGTAGATCAGTTGACTGAGCTTAATTAACTTGTCTACAGGCCCATTTTCATGTGCGTGGAGAACATACATATTAATCAATACTGTAGGTTTAACATGCACCACAGAATACTCTCAATGACGCAGAGAAAACCGTCCACAACAGATAATTATTTTCTGATTCTTGCATTTTTACTGATAGTGACAGATTTACCATGGAGGCATTTAATTGGTTTTTTCAGGTGACACAGCCTAGTTGAATGGTATTATCCTTTTTCTACATAATTGAATATACATGTAATGGGTTTAACATGATGGATATGACCAATCGACATAGGGAAGTGACCCTGGCATGAAAGTGACTGCAGATTTGAGTGAATAGATAATTGCTACAAAGCTTTTTAAACTAGATATTTAATGCTGGACGATGCATGTAGATATTTAATGGTGCACGCAATTCTCGGTTCATTACAAAACAACTGTGTTTTGTGTTTCAAAACAACTGTTTTGTTGTTAGCATATATATATATATATATATATATATATATATATATAGATAGATAGATAGATAGATAGATAGATATTTTTTGCAACCTTTTGACTTCATAACGACTGAACGATTTAAAATAAGTAAATTAATCTTATTGAGCGTATAAATCGTTACAATTATTAATTATATTGTTCAACCTGAGCTAGAAGTCATCTGCTATATGATTTCATCACGTCAAATTAAGTATTATAGGTGCAATTGTCGTTCTTAAGCTATTTCATTACACATGCATGCATGTTATGATTTACATGCTGGACATATAGAATCATCAACCTTCATATTAATATTCTAAAGGGCTTTTCCAATAGAGTATTTTCAACAATTACTTCAATGCACTTGAACAGAGTATAAACATTCACCTTATGAAGTAAAGTAAACACACACCGTCGCTAGGTTTTTATAATGTACATATTAACATCAAGCAAACCTGGAAGCAGTATGAATTGCTCTCAACGCTTTATCAATTGGTCGTTGGGGCTATCGCCACGTGGCCTGCAATTAACCTCTTCCTTCATTTAAAGGGATGAAATCTTTCCAGCCAGATGGTATCACGTCATTAAGCACATGAGTGCACGGAGTGAATCGATCACAATCATGGTTTAATGCAAAACATTAAGTTTTCTGTCAATAAATCTCAAGTACTGGATTCACCGTTACTGTGTAGGTAGACGTTTGAATTGGCTTGTCTAAATAACAGTCAGAGAGAGATATCGCATTTATTTTCGGTCTGTTTTGCCTATATTTTCATATTTTATATAATAATGTGATAAGAAATGGGGCTACTCATTTGCGTAATGCATTGTTGGCAGTAGTGAGCTGACCTAAAGTGAATGTCATTAGAATTAACAAACCTAATAAATCATAGGTAACGTCCATGGCGTTAATTAATTAATAAAGGACACCCATAATTACCAATCGTCTTAACAATGTCTAGTTTAGCAGTCTAAACTTTTTCTCGATAACTGTTTCTCGATATTCATTAGTACAAATGTGAACGGAGGTAAACGCCTTATGTCCCTATACATTCCCAATTCAGGTGAGTCAGCAAGTGATATTGACATCTCGGCATAAGGATTACATTTCCGTTGGATAAATACATTTTTTGTGTAATGTTAACAGATTAAATGACGTAGCACGTTCAATTCGACCCCGACAAATAGGTTTGTTACCAATGATTCAAAAGCAAAACCACCATGGGAACTCAACAGAATTTTGTGGTTTATTGCCATTAAGTCCAATTTAAAAAAATATCCAAGAAATGAAAGGTAAATATTGCTGCTTAAACCTCGTGTTATTAGTGTCCAGGAAACCAGGCCCCTTTTAACGCTGTGCAAAGGAATCAAGACTATCTGTGTTGATAGAGTTACTCGGGAATTCGGTCTGATAAAATGATCGAAGACACGCTAATTACTTTAGAGTGTGTCGTACGTGTTAATGGAAAATGCTAAGTCATAGTAGTTTAGTCATCGAGTTTATTGTTTAATCAGTTTCCCCCCTAGCACCATTACTTCGGCAGCTACCGCAATGTCTAACGAAGCTGTCAGGACATCTCCGACCCATATTGACAAAGGTGTAACTTTAACGAAAAAGACAAGTTGTTGTAATCAATAATAATCCAATGTTGTAACTCATATACCTTGAAGCTTTTTCTAAAAACAGCACCCCTCCTTCCAGCTGCGAGGCTACGATAAGCCACCAAAACAGCGCTGGTTCCACAGAATGTTTCCAGAGGTAGATTCCCGTAAACATAATCTAATGAAAGAAACAAATTGCACCTTGCGCCGGGAGAATGCGTTTTCTGTGTTAAGCTGTATATACAAGTTTCATAATTGAGTTCCAGATTTATCTTCATTAATGGTCAAGAATGTTATGATAAATTAACTGGGCAGTGTTTATTTTCGTTTCTATCTACCGTCAAAATATCTGCTGGAGTTTCCAAGCATTTAATAAACATTTGTGCTCTGTGAAAATTACCAGTATGAAACCCTGACACATGAAGTCAGCTGTGTATAAAGACAGTGTTCGTGTTTTCATACTTCATAGATATACGTAGAGTATGATCATAATAACTCAACACTGGATACGTCAACTATAATATACAAAATGTATATACCATCACAAACGCAATATCTTATGCTATATGGTAACCGTCATAACCTAATGAATAATTATCTTGGCCTTTGAACCCTAGCTAGGACAGAGCATTCGATAGTATTGAGAATAACCTTGCCGTACATAGACGTACACATATGATTTAGAAAAAGTCTCAAAATGATGGATATATTAGAACGTGTTCAACATCCTTTACATGAATGTCATCAATACCTCCAAAATACATTATGTTTTCTACATTATTAGGTTAACAAAATAATTCATCGTTAATGAGCAGGACAATATTCTTGTTTTGGGATACGTTATTGAAAAAAAAAATGCATCCCATGGTGCTGTTCCTTCAGTCATCAGAATAAATTTCTAGAGCGATATATTATAATGCACTAATTGCCCTAAAACACGTGGAAGAGGACAGCCCCTTCTCTGATTGATGCATTTGACTCTTAATTGATACACGTCAAAGCAAGATGTCGATTCCGATGGGATAAGTTTAAAAAAGTGCCGAGTCATTATTGGTATAAAACATTGGCAATCAAACCGGGATAATTATCAAAAATGTACAAATATCTGCCGGAAAGAACGAGTGTTTTTCTTGTTTTAACTCGCTTGTACATGTAATGCGACCTACCCAATTAATCTAATGCACGTGTACGTCATCGAGTATGCTTTGTATCGACGTTTTTCCATTATACTTGTTAATCAATTTTTACTTTCAATAAATAGGAGTTGCTGTTCAGAAACCGCATATGTTTCAAACGACGTGGGCAAAATTCCACCTCTTGCAGATAGTTGTACAAATCTATACAATATTCAAGGTTTATGTTGTAGCAGTCTCTTAACTGTTTGAAGAAACATTAACCATTTTGGGTGATGGAAATAACTGACTTCGGTATTATTTGACTATCATAAAATTCAATAACTTAGAGATGCCGAAGAAGTGTATAGCGGTATTGCCGTTTAGGTGCCGTAACTCTAGCCTACCATGGGACCCTGCAGAGATGTTTAAGGTAGGCCTAGTAAACGCATTTCAATTTTAGATGTTTTGAAATATGACTTTCAAAGAACCGAGATGAGATAATAATAATGATGGGATAAATATTATTTGTTTGTTAAATAAATCCCATTGCTCTGTTATTCTCCGTTCTCTTTTAACAAACGTGTCTGTTATCTTGTTACAGAGGCTAGTGAAGGCGAATGTTTTGGATATTGAGTTAAAGTTAGAAGATAATCGAAATATTTCATGGTTTTCCATATTGTAACAGGTATCGTTATGCTATAAAATAAAATAGGATACCATACTGCTCTCTTGCAGACTGTGGACATTCACGTACTGTATGTTCAACTGTGCTTTTTGTGATAAGAGTAGTATATGGACACAAGTGCATATCTTATTTTCTTCCCTTCCTCTATCTCTCCAATATTTCTCAACCGATAAATTTATCCATCTCTCTCTCTCTCTCTCTCCGGTATTCTAACTTTAACAGCTCAAATATCGTGTTTTTTTTTTCAAAAAAGATAAGACTATGTCGAAAACTTTCTGGGACATCCGTTGACAAACACATTAGTCTATGTGTTTCTTGTCCACAGCGTCCTACTCACTCTGTTAAAACCTACGATTAATACACAAGTGGATGTTCACTAATCGAGCCAGAAATATACAACGGGCTGGAGGTAATGGTGTTTTAATGGCTGTTTCTAATTAAGCACTTCTCGTGTTGTGATGCCATTAAAATATCAGATTACAAACTACTTAATCTGTCTATTACTTTGTGAACATTTTTATTTTCCTTTTGCGCAATAATTTCATGCTTGATATTTTAAGTGTCACGCCTGCGTGTGCATATTTAAAAAACATAGCTAGAAAAGTATATACATGTAAAAAGATGGGGAAAATATCTAATAAAATTGACACATATATTTTAATTTGTATGTTATTGAATAATATTATCATTGGTTTTTTATATGGAGTTATGGGCAAACGGTTTGTTTTATAACCTGCTGATGAAATTGCTGAATAGTTTAGGAAAAAATAGACGCGTATTTTGCTTCCAGGACGCATGCTCGGTATTGCCTTGGCCTGTATGATAATTTTGACAGGCTTTCCCGGTGATGCTATATACCTAGACCTTGAGAAAAATCAACAATAAAGTTGACCGCCTTTACACCTATTGAACAATAAAATCTCAATTTATGAGTACATGTAGGATATCTCAGCTTTATATTGAATACATGTTTATCCCGTGTTATTAATTTGAATATCCAAATGTTGATAGGCCGGTGCCTAATAGTGAGAACAGGTCTCACGTTTTGCTTTCAGTATGCTATTTTATTGTTATCTGTCATTGGTGGTTTAAATGATCAATTAAATTTTTAATGTTTATCTGTCATTTATCTGCCAGTGAAAACCTTATAGCTACACTGTTATATCCAGTGCTTATTTCCACCATGACTTATATCCCTTTCAGTACATACTTTTCATTTTTAAGTTATTGTACTTAATTATCTATGTGCAGTTAACACACGTTTTATTTACATTGAAATTGACGGGATTCATGAATATACGTTTTGAATACTATCTTAACAGTATCTAGTCATTTCAAGTATAAAAATGTCTCAGACATTTTCACCAATTGCTCAAAGATATAACAAATTTCACCTAAAGGTATTTCTTTCAGTGGCGTTACATATACGGGCATAGTGGTCACTTAAATATATTTTGATAAACTACGATAAGGCCATCTGACCACGGCAGTGCCCTATTTCATCGCTGAAATAATACAGGGCAACTGTAACCTCGCTCCAAATTCAAATCCATATTCTCAGAACAACTAGAGCGTGATCCTCAGGGAGTTGCCTTAAGGAAATTAGAGTACATTATAGAATGCTTGGAATGGTACACTGACAGGAAATGTGTGTAGATACATATAGAAAAACAATGACGATGGCATTTAATGGGTTTCATTGTCAGTTCGAATAAAACGAATGTGCATATATCCCTTAGTTACGACAGTAAGTTGGTTTTGTTAGGTGGTAACCAGCGTAAGCGCAAAACATCTGTGCATGCCTTTATGGCTATTTGACAGGGATGTACGGAATCTGGTTTGGGGCATATAACAATCAAAAATAAAGCTATAGTTAATTTTCAACGGGGACGATAAGAAATAGGGCTAGTATAGAATAATTCCATCTGTTAAAAATGCGTTATTTGTGCATTTGAGAGAATTCCTTTGAAGGCCAATTGTTTATACTGGAGAGAAGTATCAAGGTCATATTGACCTAAAGCTTCTCCAATTCATCTCAACACAGGTGCTCCAAATTCCAAAATGTTCGAAAACTCTGATAAAATTATAAATAGTCATTTTAAGACTGCATCGATTTAGAAACTCCGTTGATGGAAGGAGAAGCAAATGATATCTTGTTAATACAATATCTGGGTTTTGACCTTTGGTTCCGATTTTCTAAAAACACGAAACAAAACAGTTAAGGGGAAGGGGGCTTTCAACATAAGCATGAAATTGTTTTATTTATAAAATTACAAATATTTTGTAATTTTTGTTTATTTGAAGTTCATCAATAATGTATAATTCATACCATACAGAGAAAAAACATCTTGTTGTACCTTTAAGTTTCAGGAAAATGAGGGGAAAATATACAGGCTGCAAAAGCTTTTTGCATGGCCTGGTAACGCAACGCATGCGCAGACGTTTTTCTTTATTCCCTGGTGGCTGGTGGCCTTAAGCTAAACATTGGCGTGGGACATGTCCATGTTACACGCAATCACTTAGTGGAGCGCTTATTGAAGCAGGTCTTTATCAGTCGAGATTGCTGCGTCTATTCTTTAATTGATTTCAATCAAAGTACTTAAAGTCGGTGCAAATAGGTTTGTGGTGTAAGGTAGACAGAAGATTGGCAGAAAGACATTTTATGTTTTATCTCCATATAAGAGCAGGTGAAGATAAACGCATCGGAAATTTGACAAGTTGCTGATGTTGCGATTTTGGACCAAAAAGTACAAAATCTACGAATGTGGACATCATACTGCAAGGGCAGACGAAAGGCTTTTCGATGCAGAAGAATATGCGTTGGTAAATTATCATAGTAAAAAAAGAGTCATAAAACAATTTGTGTCATCTGATGAAAGGCACTGTCAATGAAGAGGATAAATTTAATACAATGAATATTTTCCGCCAATGCCTGCGTGTCGCATTAGCGGCCAAGCGCAGTCAACTGAAACAATAGATGCCATCGTCGTCGGTTTATTAATTACGTGCACTGTGTACATAACAATCTGTGATACATGTATTTCGCTTTATTCTTATTACTTGACATTCAATTTGTTTTCAGATCCCTATCACTTGTTAACACAAATGGATGCGTGTAATGGACCAGCGACAATTAACTCTCAGATGTTAATGCAGGACACTTGGGCGTTGTGTCGTATAGTTTAGATTTTGAGAGGGAAACATGGCAGAAAAATTACACTGGTGTCACTTCTCAGAAGAATTTTATCTTTTACAGGTCGCCAAATCTGGTAATATTGAAGCATTTGAACGTCTTTTCTATGAAGATGAGTCGCGATTGTTTCTCAAAGATGCCAAAGGGCAGACAGTTATGCACCACGCAGCCTCCAAGGACAGGATTGTTATTATGGACTTCATCTTGGACCATGGCGGAGGCAAGTCCTTTTTTAGCGTTCATGAAATGTCTTTGTTAAGGCGTAAAAGTGTCATCTCATAAATCCTAATTGTGAATTCTAAGTTTGTTAATTAAGTCATCATATCTCGATCTTTACGACAGTCTAATTACTTGTTGTCTGACATTAAACTTGGCGCTATTGTTAATCTAATAAATCCTTATTGTGAATTCTAAGTTTGTTAATTAAGTCATCATATCTCGATCTTTACGGCAGTCTAATTACTTGTTGTCTGACATTAACCTCGTCGCTATTGTTAATGAATGCAAAAAAAAAAAAGAAAAAATCGTGCTAGAAGTGTTCCTCATGTGTGTTGAAAAAACAACAAAAAACGTATTTCCCATCTCTTACCATCCAGATATTAATGCCAAGGATTGTAAGGGAAACACACCTCTCCACGTCGCTGTCGAGCTGACAGCGACGGCCAGTATTGACTACCTTATCTACCATGGCGCCGACACTACCATCCTGAACGCTGATCTCATGGCACCCATTCACTATGCCGTAGACCTGGGGAACGTGGCATCGTTAAAGGTAACGAAATCGAAATACCCACTGTATCTACACAATATGGAGTGATGCATTCCCTATGTTGTTTTGTTTGTCGTCATAATGATATAGTTGTCTCCACCTCGGTGGTAGACCACCTGTGAGAGCGGATGAAATTCATATGATCGTCCAAAGTAATAACAGCAAGTCATTCATTCAAACACCGACCAAATTGCCTTAAGTAATTAGTCTTTTACCCAGTAATTATAATTCCTTTAGCTACACTTGTAAGACGGGTATTCTAACAGAATTATTGGCAACGTAAACGGATGTGATATTGGAAATCAGACTTTTTTTTTATTTGCGTTCATTCTTATGTGAAAAACAAGTCAGATTGGTGCATGTATAAAGTATAAATCATACTGCATCCAATAAATATTACATACATCTCCACTGCAATGACTTGCATAAGTACCACTTTATTCGAGTTAGATACCATAACTACCGGTATGTTAGTGTAGCTACATGTATAGAGCAATGCTTGTGAACCTCATAATTGCTGCCTCTGTTTTCTATTATAGGTTCATTTTAAGAAAAAAAATATGAGATGGGTATGCCATTATCTGATTGACAAATATAGCATGTCTCTAACTAAAATTTGTACGTCAAGAGATTTGATATTACTTAGACTTTTGTGAATTTGTTTTATTTTCTATGTTATTTTGTGATATGACCATTTACTTACATGTAGATATGAATGTATGCTTAAACGATCCCACAACGGACATTAAACACGTAATGACAGACGCACATTAAATACTTAACATTAATACTGCACAACTTTGTAGAAAGTGATTAGCAAGCTGAAATGGACAACAAATTATGTTTCCTTAGACGTTATGTTATTTAAGGATACCCGGTATTATACTGCGACAGTATCTATGCAAAGCACATTTATTAATTAGGGATACATTGCAGCATAAATGGAGGAGGAAATTGATTAAGCAATAACAATGCAGTCATTGTATTTCTCACCCGTAGCTAAACAACGAGCTTTATCGTGACAGCCTGGATACCATATGCCAACTGTGAAGTTTAATGGAAATGTATTTGAACATGTTTTGCAATTAGAAGTCCTGAACTACGCAATCACTTTTTTCTCTCTCTATTTGTGTTCCCTCGTTTAAGTTACAGATAAAATAGCCAACCCGCCCATTGCTTTTAACGTTGCAATTAGCCGCGTTCGCTTTCATTTGTATTTTAACAATTAACTTAAATACCAGAGAACGTGATTGTTACCTTTCTCAACAGCTTTTTATTTGTGCAACTCAAGAGGGAAAATGTATTTACGAAGTCTAAATAAAGAACTAACGTAAAAGAGATTTACCACTTACATTATTCAGTTGCTACAATTTGCGGCAACAGCAATCCATTTTGATAATTTGCTTATTTGATGTCATTAATGTTAAGGCTTTTTATTTAAACTGGCGATGTAAAAACTGATTATTATCACTTTTTGTGTAGACGCAGGTATTAGATGAGCTTAACAAATCATGCATGGCGGTCGAGCACACGTTTTCTTTCATTTGTAAAATTGCAAAATATACACTATCCGACAATTGTGGTCCAAAAAGGCGTTATATCACCACTTTTATTGTTAAATAAGTAGTATAAAGCTGATTTTACAAACAGACTATATCTAAAGGTTGTGTGTTCTGTACGAAATCTAATAACACCACCATTGCTGTTTTAATAGTAAATTTAAGATTTTAATATAAAAGCAAACTCATGTCTATCAAGGTTTGCTAAAAGTATAAAAATTCTGCTTTAAATTTTCGAAATCGTCTGCGTCTTTTAGGCTCTGATTAGCCATCCGGAAGTGGACATCGCTTTGGGTGGGGAAAACGACGGTACTGCCCTCCACTATGCTGCCGCCAAGGACGACGAGAAATGTGTGGAATTGCTGGTATGGATGGGATACATGGGTCTTACTTTAATGGTCCCCGGTTATGTACACGGACACACGAGTCCACATACTGTGCATATAAATGCCGTCCATCTAATTTTGTTTAGCGCCATTCCATCAGCGTTAATGTTCACCATTTGCCATTATTCGTGGAATTAAAAGCATAAAGCAATGATCTTAGGTATTTAAAGCATGAAGATTATTACTAGAACGTATCTTGAAGTGAACGCGAAAACGTTTGTCAAAAACAGTGCTCTTCAGTCCAAAGGAGAGTAAATATCTTTGTCATCCTAATATCTGTATAACAAACGATAGTCATGAACAATAAGCTGAATGGTAACCTCAGTGACATTTAAGTTGCTTTCTTTTTATCTGTAGTTAGAGCACAAGGCCCCGCTGTGCAAACACGACAGCATCGGACTGTACCCTATCCATGTGGCAGTGAAAAATGCGTCAGCCAAGTCTGTGGACGTGCTTGTGGAACATGGTAAAACGCACATTCCAACATATTAGTGCATATTTCAATCTAGATGTTTGTTTAAATGTTTGGTACTACTACGCCACTCGCATGTGGTATAAATTATAATTTCTTTATGTTTATTATTATTATTATTATTATTATTATTATTATTATTATTATTATTATTATTATTATTTAGCTGAGAAGAACGGTTACACCCGGTCGCAGTTGATGTCTTTTATGGACAAAAAGAAGAACATGGCGCTCCACTCTGCCGTTAATGCGGCAAATCTTAAGGTAAGGTGTGCGTTTTTTAAAAATATTAAATGTCATTTCCCTCACACTTATGAAATTGATTTATTTTACGTATATTTGCACCTATCACTGCTGTTAAAATACATTTTACACTGATTTTCCTGCATTGGCCTCTTAACATATGCTGGGCCTATTTAACAGATGGGTTTTATCTTATTTCTAAACTAAGTTTTAATTTACTTGGTCTTATTTTAACAGCGCGCTTGCCATTACAAGGTAACAAGGTATCTCTGAAATTTAAAACAGGCTTTTATAAGCTTAGACGCGCGAACCGTTTTATTTGTGTATTTTGCATTTATTTTATCTTTTTTATTTATTTATTTCATTTTTCTTTTTTACCGTATACTTTAAGATCTCTGCTCCCTCGTCAATTAATTACGTGCCCAGTTCCGTAGACCCATTAACACCGCTTTTCTACCAATCAATATCTTTCAACCAGGTCGAGCTGACCGAATCCAAATTCATAGACAGGGGGCCCTGGATTCATCATTACTTATTGCATACATCAACATCATATCCTATCAGACCTGGAACAATACATGTGTACCGCATAGGAAACTGTTTAAGACTCCATTAAAGCATTGCAAATACTCGATGTATGTTTTCGATATCCATTACCGCTTCTATTCACTCTTACTCATAATGGAGCGCAGAGATTGAAACAAACAGTAGAATGTACATGTACCTTGATAATTGCACTGGTTTGCAGTAATTGACGAGCGTAACTTTGGAAAGGTTTCATCTTTTCTGTTTACGCGTTTGCAGACAGATTGCCGTGGTCCCAAAGTAATGCAATTGTATACGCAAAATAACAACAGGAATAGATTAAAAAGTCTTAGGTAGTAAAATTCGAATTAATTCTCTTTCTCTTGATCTACGAATGTTTTGTTTTTCAATTAAATTTATTTGTAACAGTACATTTATCACTTTATTTCAGTTATACTTCTGTTGCTTCTACAACTGTAATTGCATGCCGTCTCTATCAACAAAAAACTTTGATTTAGCCTCATTGTAGGTTTCTTTAATCCAAAACCAGAACATGTGAGTGGAATTTCTCTGTACAACGTCCGATAATATGTATGATTTTATTTTACACTGTTTATTTACTTCCAGGCCGTGCAGGTGTGTCTGGCTGCGGGTGCTGACATTGATGCCCAACAGGTGAACAACTTTTAAACATATGAAGCACAGTACTCAAGCACAGTTTGTGCATGTGCAGAAAGTGTTTTTATGTTAGGCTGTATGGTCATGTCGCCCCAACTGGACCTCTCTCCACAACCCCGAACCATGAAAAATGAAATGCTCCCCGAGGCAAAATGTTGCAAAATTAACTGAAAATCGTAGATAGCTTTATTGCAGGCAATGCGCATCAAAAGCTCTTTTTGATTGAGCGAAAAGTAGCCAATAGACGTTTTAATTTCGATTTTTTGCGTTTTGATTGTCAATTCTGATTTTTTTGCAAGTAAATTAATGGGAGTCAACAATGGGAGCACACTTGGGAGCGCGTGAAATAAGCCTATTTGAAGGAGTTTATGGCGCGACATGCCTAGAAAGAATCTTTATTCATTTTGAGTAATATGCTTGTTACCATAATGAGTGACTTAATACAATTATGTAGAACTACATTTTGGTGCACTAGATCTTAGTTATGCATTGAATATTTAAAGAATAATGCCCACTTTAGGAAGACAAATCCACTCCCATCCACCTCGCATGTGCCCAGGGTGCTATGGATATGGTGAAGCTGATGTTTGAGAAACAACCAGAAAAGAAGCACATATGTATCAAGGCCAAGGACGTCAACGGAATGACGCCACTCCACAAGGCGGCCATGTTTGATCATTTTGAACTTGCAAAATACCTAGTAGAAGAGGTGTGTGTGTTCATTTTGTTCATTATGGGCATTTCATGATCAGATTTAAATCGCCTTTTTAGTCCTTTTACATTGTCTGCTTATACCAAATATCCCATTTCAATGAAAGTACAAGCTGAATGTTTGACCATAATCCGTATGTTTTACTGGCAACACGCCTCCAACAGCTGAACCTGTTGCAAAACAACAATTGATGATGATTTAACAAACAAATATCTTCCCACTGTACAGTATTTTTAAACCTTAAAAGTCCATACCAAAAATCCTGTCTACCCAAATAAGTCAAACAAACATTTTAAACGATTAGCTAATTATTCTTCGTGCAATAATAATGGCAAACTTAGCTTTGTAAGCCGATATCGTACCCGTTGATTGACTGACATCCGTACGGAATTATCTACTATAAGATAAAAAACACGACCAGTTCCCTAATTCTAAAGGTAAACGTAGAAATCAATGAACCGCTCCTTTCCTCATATTTACATTCACTTATGCAATAATGGCTTTTTGATATCACTCTTAAACTATACAGGGTGCCTGGGTGGATGAGTCAGACAAGGATGACAGGTCGCCATTGCTGCTGGCTGCCTCGAGGTACTCGTGGCGCACCGCCGTGTTACTTCTGGAGAAGAAAGCGAAAATAACCCTAAAAGATAAAGATAACAGAAATTTCCTCCATCTCGCAATAGCTAATGGCGCAAGACTGGAGGACTTCCCTTGCCAATCTGTCATGGTACGTGGTATGCCGACTTGCTCAAAGAAAACACGTCAATCCTTTTTTTTTAATATCTTGAGTCCTTGCATAATACGTACTATATTATAAATATTCCGACGCATTTCATGCCAAATGCATAATTTTAGTTAAGTAAAAAATGCACAAATTATATTTTATACCAAATGCACGTTTATATCACGTTTTATTACTTTGGTAGTGTTCGACAGACCTGAAAATGCTATTGAACGATAAGGACGAGCTCGGCTGCACTCCTCTACACTATGCCTCCAAGGAGGGTCATCTGGCCTCTCTGGGCAGCCTGCTACAGCACGGGGCCTCCGTGATTGTGAAAAATAACCAAAAGGAATCGGCCTTGCATTTTGCAGCAAAGTAAGATCATTTAAAAATTGAGTAAACTATTTTTGCATTTTTTTCCGTTGGTAAAATAGACTTTCAAATACACAGTGCTCAGAACCAGAATGAGTAGGGATGCAGATTATGAATGTCACATCTCAACTCCTGTCAGCAGTAAGCCACTTCCCTTACCAAAGTATCCATAAGGAACATGAAGAATCATTTATAATGAGGATAGGCTTACCACGGATGAAAAGAGTTATAAAAATTCGCAGCATTAATTATAAGGGTTAAACATACTCCTAATACCAAGAAGACTGAGCTCAAGGCACGTCATAATTGACAGTTGTCTTTTTACTTGGATTTGCGACTTAGGATCATGACATTTGATTGGATAAGTGACTTGACTACGCATTTCTGGTCAATCATTTGTGGTCACGCATTAGTGGTCAAGTGTCCTGGTTCCAAAGGGTGACCACGTGCTTATCCTTCTTCGTCGATCTTAGCGCAATTTTTGAATCCTCTTTCCTTCAGGTATGGGCGATTCAATACTTGTCTTCAACTACTGAACAGTCCTGAGGGTCACAACATCATCAACGAAACAGACCAATATGGGAAGACAGCGCTCCATGTAGCTTGCTGTAGTGGCCACACCAAAGTTGTGCAGCTTCTTCTACAGAAGGGAGCGCTTGTATCGGGGTAAGTTTCAGGTCCATCAGGGAATTTGTTGCTGAGTTCGTGTCACATGTCATGATGACAATCCTTGAACTTACAGCAGAAGTCACGGATATGGTGTATTTTCTTTATGGAATGTGTAAAGTGAAAATATTTGTAATACAGAACATTTATTAAGTATACCAGTCCTATTACCGTGTAATAAAAATGCTGTTTCCAATACACTAAAGAATATGATGAAGTACATGGGCATGAACCATTTATTTCTTTTTTATCAGATGTCATATGGGGTTTACACCTCTCCATCTTGCGGCCAAAAATGGGTATACACAAACCATGAAGCTGTTACTTGGCATGCACTCACATCTATTAAACTTGCCCAACTCAGAAGGGGTAAGTAATTTGAACCAATGGTAATTTCGTTTAAGCTGAGCCTGCAGGTATTTATACAAGGGCTGCCCACTGAGTTTTTTTTTTTCTTTTTTTTTTCACTTCAGTTAATATCGCGATTTTGATCATATTCCTTTTGTTGGGTTTTAGTACATCCATCAAATTCTGAGAAGTCTTCTGTATACCTTCAGCTTGATAAAGGGTAAGATACATGCGGGGAAAATTTATTGAGAAACACGTTCATTTAATTATGAATATGTATTTGAATTTGTAGAATACCGTCCTACATATTGCCGCTTTGTACGGCCAGCCTGCTGCGGTAAGCCTATTGTTGACCGAAGAGGCGGACATCACTCACAGAAATAACGACGACATGACTTTCTTCGATGTGGCCATTGCTAATAAGCAAAAGGAAGTGGCGCACGCTATTGTAACACACAAAAGGTATTAGGGTAGAGTGAAACGACGCTTTTTTCCCGCTATTTTCCCTTTGTTTAAATTAGGTTATATTTTTCATTTTCAAATAGAGCATGCATTCGAACGATGATTATTCACGACAGAGGCCAAATCAAAAAAGAAAATCAAAATATTCTAGTTTTACCTAACTTCTAATAAATAAATAAGCCATTTTTAACATATCTGCGAATACCACAAGTCTGCTATGAAAGAAAATGTCCCATAGGGCCTACTATTTCATTCATTGTTACAGATGGCATGATTGTATGCACCTTCGTTCAGAATACCATGGCTGCCCTGGCATGGGGATGATTATCAACTTACCAGATATATTTGAAGTCGTTTTAAACCAGTGCGTTACCCCAGTTGGCAAAGATATCAAATCTAAAGAGTTTCACGTACGTATGTATAGTCAGAATGCTTAGATACTATTGAACTTTATTGAAGGCACCCAAAGGGAATACCCTGCACTTGTGCCTGGAGTAGAAAGACAGGACATACACTACATTGTTAGTAAAACATTAAAAAGTACTTTATCATCACCACACCCAGGATAGAGGCGGGTGAGGACAGACCAATAGTCATGTGAAGCATCATGTAGAGTGTTTAAAAAAGTAAAATGTGTTTTTTTATTGAAAATATACTCGGTATTTATTATGTTACGACAAACAAATGCAATGTATAGAGGATAGAAAACATGCTTTTATATTTACAGAAACACTACGACTTTAGCTATCTGCAGCTACCGATGGACTATGTAAAGAAACTGAGAGAAAACGGAACCAGCTACACACCACTTATGTCTCTAAATGTGAGTTCTCGTTTGTATAATTACCGTTGAAAATTCCTTTCGCATTAATCTTATCGTGAAATAACTTTTTTTTGATTCGACAAAGATCAATCGCTTGAGGTGCAATGCTTGTTTCTATTTATAGTTAGTAATATGTAGTCTTCTGGCAATTCAAACATTGACGCATACTAAACGTTTATTTTTGTGTACATCGATCTACTTTATTTCTAATTTTGTTCACGAATTTACTAACATTATATCCACTGCTTAGGAAAGAAATCTTTTCTTAAAGTCAAAACAAATATTCTGTAAAACCTGCCTAAATGGATAAAGACACTCTTAGATCATCGCTAATAGATGAGTATTTTCTGTACGAACACTACCTAATGGTGAAGAACCCATCATTATTGCTTTGCAGATGATGGTAAAGCACAATCGTGTTGGGCTCCTGTCACATCCACTGTGCTTGCAGTACTTGAGCATGAAATGGTAACTACTTGGCCATGCCTTATATTGCGTTATGATATAGTATTGTACGCTCTCAGGTCTCATGTGGCATTTTACTTCTTTTTTGTGCAGCTTGACTACGCTTCACATTGCGCTTTAAAAGTTTATTTTTCTATACCTTACTAGTTTATTTTTAAAAGCCTTGGATGTTAGAAAGTTAGTGTTCAGATTAAATGCCATGAAAACCTGGTCTACATTTTCGTATCATAATAACTTAAATTTCACTAGTTATGAATATATTTTTCTGGACTGTTAATGAAAATAGGAAAGAAAATATGTAGTTGGGAAGTGACTTGTAATGACACTGACCAAATTGTTCTATACAGTACATGTAGTTAATGTTTAAACATTTATGTACAATAGAGAGCCGTAAATGAAAGTGAACATGCATCTAGAGCTAAATAACCTAATTGTAATTATAAATACAACATAATCAACTATTTGAAACGTATTTTTAGGCAGGCATATGGAGGTTGGATACACATGTTTGTGCTGTTCCTTTACATCCTCTTCCTTGCGGCTTTGACGTCACACGTCACGTACATTCGCCCAATGGATCATGACGACCCGTGGGCACATTTTGGAGTTAACAGAACCAACGAGACACGATACTGTAGCAGGTTTTGCCAGTCCCTAAAGTCAGGGGTACGTCATGAAGATAATGTGTGGAAACGCGTAGACTGAAAATACCTTCTGCGGATGCGCTTCTACTTAATGCGTTTACTTATTATGTTTCTTTCAATATTTCTGTTATATCGTCTTATGGTTGATAAAAAACAAGTGAAAATAAATTGTGCATAAATTGTCACCATTTTTATAAAACGGTATGCACGTCTTGGGGATCAAAACTTTATCTAGGACATGCAGATATCAGCAACAATTTGTTACTCTTTATTTGCTGTTTTCCCTTTTTAGTATCAAGTAGCACCATTCCATAGGATAGGTTTACTGTACATTCTTGTGTTCTGTGCTCTCAACATCATCAAGGAAATTTTTCAAGTAATTCAACAGGTAAATAAATGCGCATGTCCATTTAATAAGTCAAACTACGAAAATGGTTGAAAGAACTGCGCGTTATGAAGTAAAGCGAAAAAACAAGAATTTGATATATACACCAATTGTTATTGGCTGATCTATAAATGCTCCATTGATCAATTTTCCATGATCAGAATAGAGTACATTGTAATTTAGCATGTCAAGTTTATACTGTCCAGTAGGCCTACCTAAAGAAAGTAACACCGTAGTAATGTATTGTACGTAGGGTCTAAAACACATTTAATGCGGCTTCACTTCTCTGACCTTTTATTCTTGTTCTTTTTTAGAGAGCAAAATATTTCATCGACTGGGTGAACTATATGGAGTGGATTCTCTATGTCACTGCTGGGATATTCGTCGGTCCGTACATCTTCGAAATTAACCTGCATTATCAGTGGGAATGCGGAGCCATCGCCATTTTCCTAGCTTGGTTCAACCTACTATTGCATCTCCAAAGGTAAATATTTTTGACTGAATCTGAAAAATATATTTCTGGCTGATTTTCTATACAGTAAATGTTTATTTCCCGGCAACATGTTTATCCCTATTTGTCATGAATTTTTTTCATAGTTTGGTACATAAAGGTGATGAATGTATGTGTAAAACCCTATTATAAAGCGCTCGAAGTAAATATATGATTGACGGTGCAGTCTGCACCTAAAAATCGAGGCTGCGTTAAACTAATTTTCAAAAAAAAAAGTGTACAGTATCAAATAGCCAAAGCGAGATGGCAGATGTGGTTAAGGTGCATTCTCTCTTATTAAATAACTAAATGTCATCGCCCTTTCTTTTTCAGATTTGACGTGTTTGGTATCTACGTTGTCATGTTCTTAGAAATCACGAAGACGCTGATACAAGTGTTTGTACTGTTTATGATTCTGATCGTTGCCTTTGGACTGTGCTTCTACATATTGCTATCTGAAGAAGTAAGACTTCGACATTTTTGAGGATTGGTTCGAAAAATATAGGAATATGACATGTAAAATTTAAATTTCTGAATATTAGAGTTGGATGAATATTTTATTTTCGCAGTAATTTTTTAAAATTAAATTTCAGTATTTAACGAAATGGAAAGCATTTTACCATATAGAATGTACTCATAGCAGATTTTTGTTCTTTAATATTTTAATATTTATTTGTTTTTATATTATTCATTTCTTTTCTTTTTGTTGTTTGTTTGTTTGTTTGTTTGTTTGTTTTGCCATGGAAATACCAGTACATATTTAAGACTAATTTACTAATCATTTTAATTTATTAATTATTATTGATAATATTTTAGTTATTTGTTCATTTATAACTTTTTTGTGTTGCTATTAAAATGGCTGATTTGACATTCTTTATTTAGAACAACAGGTCTTTCGTGACACCAGAAATATCCCTTTTCCGCACCATAATAATGATGCTGGGAGAAATCGACTCCATCAATTCCTTTGTCGAGCCTCTGACAGACGACTCTCCTATCACCCAGCACTTTGGGGGTCTTACAGTGTTTTTTGTCATCGTGTTTGTGTTACTGATGCCCATCCTCCTCATGAATCTACTGGTAAGATGATTAAAGTGGTTTATCTTTTAAAATTAATTAATGTGCATTATTGTAAACTATTGTATTAAAAGAGAGGGTAATTTTTCGTAATCACACTAAGGTTCTCTTAGTGGAAAATATCCAAACTAGAGAGCACACTTGAGAAGAATCGTTCCGGCGGTTGCAGTGGAGGAAGAGTTGAATGGTGCCACGAAGCAGTGGTCCCGGCTTCTTTCAAATGCTGTAAAATGCTTGCAAACATTCTCTTGCTACATTATCATGCCATTTTCCATAATTCTATGATAAATCTCTCTACAGATCGGTTTGGCCGTTGGAGACATCGACACCGTGCAGAGGAACGCGTCCTTAAAGCGACTGGCCATGCAGGTGGACCTGCACACGGAACTGGAGCTGAAACTGCCACAGAGAATACTAGAGTGGGTGGACAAGAAGGATTTGGATATTTACCCGAATTCAAGACGGAATATGTTCAAAAGGGTAAGGCGCTTTTTGCTTGTCCCATTTTAGAAAGCTACGAGTTCTGTAATTTGATTAGGCAGTGAGTTTGCAAATTTGGTGCAAAGGCAAATAGGGTTTAAGCTATTCAAGACGAAAAATATACGAAGGGTTCAGACGATTTTCGTTTGTCTCATTTCAGGAAGCAAAAGCTCTGTAATTTGGTTTAAGCAATAAGTTTGATAACTGGGGTGTTACTATTTAAATAAGTTAGGAGATGAAATGTATAAGAATTTTGAAAACGTTGTTTTCAGTTTTGGAGCCGGGTTTCCGATACAAGTTCTAACGCAGAGGGCTGCACGAGTGGCTCATCCACTGCTGTTTGCGGCAGGTCCATACATGAAGAACTTCAGAAACAAAAAGCCAGGTAAGTTTTTATAAACTCTGTAAAACGCTTATATTCTTTCTTAAAAACAATTCTATAAGGGTATAGAGCTGAATTTTCTGTAGCAAAATATGAAGCCAAGATTATGGCTTTTACAATAAGTCAACTAATTGAATCGACCTTAGCGACGTAATCGAGTACGATCAAAAACCGCTCATCTGCACTCTTTGTCTTCATATTTAGTCCTGTCATACCGCAATTTAGTTGGAACAAATATTCCATACATTGTTTTTCTTACCAGGTTGAAAGACATTTCAAGCAATCTTGATAAACAACACGAGCTCATTCGCCTGATCGTTCAGAAGATGGAGATTAAATCCGAGGCAGACTACAGGGACGAGGGCGTGCCCACTAATCGAGACCCGGCATATGCACTGCGATCGAATTTTCAGTGGCTGTCCTCAAATATGCGCGAAAAGGTCGCCCAGGCAACAGTGGTTTCAAAGTGGGTGCGAAGTATGAGCAAGGAGGAAAATGCTTTGGACAGAAGTAAAGATGCTTCCTCCGATCCAACTAAAGACGAGAGAGAAGATAAAGAAAAGTAGTAAAAAAAAACAAAACAGAAAGACGCACACTTTTGTTCTTACCCAGTGGGTCATTAATCCTATGAAGGCAAAAACTATATTATTATATATCTATATGTCAAATGTTTAGATACCGTCTTGCGTTAATGTAAACATCGGTCATTTCTAACGTCTTGCACGCATGAACTGTAAGCTAGAAATATAAAATTGTACTTAAACCTCTTGCAGGACCTACATATCATTATGGGTGTTATCCAGGTGTTGCTTAGTAAAAATGCCATAATTATATCTATTTTTTGAGGAATAAACACGTGTCTATTTAATCAATATGTGAACAAAGGATAATAAATTAATATATTTGGTATATATTCATTTTCTAATTGATTTGTTTCTCTGAGCTAAATTACATCGTTACGGGTCGACGTCTGCATGCAGGGATTTATCACACATTTCCGTGTGCGGCGCCAGCGTAAAGATAACTAAGTCCAGTTTTAAAAGCTTTCAAATCACATGTGTTTTTCGTAAAGGTATATGGTCTCAAAGTGGTTTGGGGGAAGGTGGAGTAAAAAGGGCATCGATTTGGGGTAAAATCTGTTGACCCCCACCTTCCCGCTAATTGCTGGGGTTTCTCGCGAAATGGCACTTGAACAGGGCATTCTTGATCAATGATGTTTAGCTCTTGTAAACTGCAGAGTACGCTTCCCTTTGACAACTACACGTAGAATGCCGTAATATCATCAAGTGATATATCTGCAGGTAGCCTAAATGTCGAAAGAAAAAAAGCCAATCATCAAGTTGTCGATCATTTTAGGCATTGACATGATATGCGATTTTAGAGCCATAGTCCCAACCGCCGCAGCTCTGGATGCAATTCAATATCTCACCGAATGTAAAGTGACTAAAAAAACAGTCACCGTCACGTTATCAGTACGCTATTTCTCGTAAGGTGTTTTGTAGAATAGGACACATATGTTAATCGTTTTGTTAATACTAATTTAAAAATAATAACTTTAACTGTTTTCTTTATTTTTTACACAACGTGTTGTAGATTTTCTTTATGAATTTCGCTCAGTTAGTTATTTGCAATTAACTGTTACTAAAAGTGACTTAATAGAAAAACGCGCCAAACATTTTCTTTCAGAATTTTCGAAACAAGAGAAACTAAATATAAGTAGTAATAAAAGGACGCGACAGTTACTAAAAAAGTGGCAGAGCTATTAAAAAATGCCATAGTAAAGTGGCAGAGCTATTAAAAATGAGACAGAGTAATTATTTTATTTATTTATTTTGTTTATTTATGAAAAAGATGCTTATATTGGTTGAAAAGGTAGGTGTATACATAAGATTTGAAAGGATAGGTGTTTGTTGTAGTTTTCCATTGAATTGGATGAACAAAAAGACACGCATTTTTATTGATCCAAAAAAGACAGATTGCACGCGACTAAGTTGAACGCGCCTCACAAAGTGTTAACAAACAAAGCTCAGCTTATGGTCAGCTGAGACTAGTGTAATATTCACAAAGAGAGGTATGCAGGCCAAATACTTAGAGTATTGTGATAGTGTGTGGTTCGCAAACACTTAGTACAGTCGAATCCGCCTTTTACTGTGTTTCAATATAGTTCAATGTAAAGCGGCCAGTATTAAATGAATGACACTGTTTTTACATAAGCTGGGTAGTATCATAGTAAAGCTCTATTCCTTTCTCGTGAACCAACTGCTGTAGTCACCTATTTGTACTTAAACGCCGCATCAAATACTTTTGATTTCTCTAAACCCCTCCAATCCTTTATTCCTAAATGATCGCCTTGGTTTACACAAGCAAACCAGTAATTCAGGCGGCCAGTGTAAACAATCTGTTTAGATTTGGGCCTTTTGTAGCCACAACTATCACTTCACAACATTTTTCCAATCCAAAGCTAAACATTGGAGTACTCTTCTCTTCCTTTTAAAAATAATATGAGTATTTTTCTCTTTCAAGTCAAAATTTCTCAGCATTTTCTCGACCCAATGCTACTCATTGCTGTATTTTTTCTGACCATCTTTAATCATCACTTGTTCTTTAACGTTAAACAATGCACCATTTTTTCTGTCCATCTTTGAACATAAGTGTTTTCCTTGTTAAATTTAAAGTTAAAAATTAAATACATCTTTAAAATTATTCTGCTTTAAAAGTATAATACCCATGCTTACGGCTATTCTGCCTTCTTCAGGAACAAAGATTTAAACTATGATTCTTATTTATAAGATCTATGCGCCGATTTATGATTTACATTGTCTAATCTGAAGAATAGTGTCATATGTAGAAGTATTTTTTTCTCCTTAATACAAGAAACAACAGTTATTGCGTCTGTTTAAAGTTAACCAGTGCAGTATTTTTTTCTGTTCGGCTTTGAATACCAGAAAATCTCCCGATCAAAATGAAACGCCAATGTAGAAGTTTTTTGTTAAATAAAAGTCAAACAGTGCGGTATTTTTTCCTGTTTGACTGTGAAAATTAGTGTTTCCTTGTAAAAATGAAACGCCAATATAATATGATAATATGCAGAAGTATTTTTACCTTTAGTATAAGAAACAGCAGATTTTTTTTCTGATTCAAGTTCAACTTTTTTCTGTTCATCTTTGAAAATCAGAAAATGAACCGATGAAAATGCGTCACAAGAGATTTTCTACACAAGATCGCGTTAAAACAGTGTAGTTTTTGTCTGCTTAGTCATGTTATAGAACCATAAATTCAAGAAAACACATGTCATATGGATAAAATGTACTTTTATTAGTATACAATCTCTAAGCACACGGTGGTAAAAATGACAAACTCTTTTTTTTCTGATTCAAGTTCAACTATTTTCTGTTCATCTTAGAAAATCAGAAATTACACCGATGAAAACGCGTATTAAGATATTTTTCTACACATGGTCGCGTTTAAACATTATAGTTTTCATTATGTTATGAAACCATAAATTCAAGAAAACACAGATCATATGAATAAATGTACGTTTATTTGTATTCTTCATTGCAATACACACGGTGGTAATTGACAAACTCTGTCTCTGTTTCATTGAACATCACATCTAATGCGTTAACTACTGTTTAGTATTTGAATTGACTTTATATTATACAATTCTTATCAAGGTAGGTATTTACACAGGTAGAGTAATGTAATAACCTTTCACGTCTTGCTTTTCAAACACGCCTCCTCTGCATCACATTATATTGGATTAACAGCTAGACAGAATAAGTGTACATATTTTATGTCTCCGTGCCCAGAAGATATTGCTTTTAGATAAAAATATCAGTCACATTTAACATTTAATGTGTTGTATAGCAATTTATCTTCATCATTTTACCGTTGTTTGAAAACGTCTGTTCTAACTTAAAATAATTCACATTGACAAAATATACAATAAACTTTGTACAAATACATATCCTGAACATAAAGTGTTTGAAATGAATGTGTTGAACTATCTATGGATAGGCTATTTAGTAAATTTTATAAATGGAGATTGTCTGATAATATTTTCAGATGATTTAACTGGCAATGTAGGAGGGTATGTGTACACGATATTTTACCTTTATCCAAAAAGTTTATGACAAAAGGATGGCTTCTCCCATCTAGCACTCCAAATTACATAGTTGTCACAATGTAATATAGAGTTTATGTTAAGATTGTTCTCAGCTATAGATGTCATGTTGCAGTTTAATGTGAAATCTTGTAATTTTATATACATTAGTTAACAAGTTGAGTTTTAATAACCCTGTAATGTTTAATCTTATGATTCCATACCGAATTATAGTTATATTCCTAAGTACATTTTCACCAGTACGTACTGGTGTGTAAGATACAATAAATTCTTAATAAATCCTATAAATTAAATCTAGTTGCAGGAGAATAAAATCACAAGCAGTAAGTAGATGTAGAACTCGTAACTTGGTCCCAGAAAATACGTTTGTAATGCTGGTAATTGGTATTCAGGGAGGGACTTAAGAATGTGAAGGGATTTAGTAAAGAATGACATGAATAAGTGGAATGTATTGTGATCTCTACCTCGCGTAGCAACTATAGTAGGAGACAATACTATCATGACGCATTTATATGTGTTACAATAGCAACACTTTGAATAACGTTGAGTGGTGAAAAGAGGGAATTTGTGTGTATTACTTGAGCAAACAGAACATGCCTGGACATGATCTTGAATGCTATATAGCTGAAACCGGGCTAATCTCATCTGACCGGTCATTTGTTTGTTGAACGGCTGATTGCATTTGAGTAAACGGAAACATGCTTGGGCAAGCTTGCTAAATATGAAGAAACAAGCCCAGACGTGTGAATATAGCTTGTTATATAGCTGGGACAGGGCTTATCCATACAGCATAACCTACTACAGCTGCGTACAGTTCAAGACACACAGACAGTAGAGGAAAGACCAATTACTCGATTGATATTTAAGTTCTGATACAAGGTAGGTTCTTTTTTATTATAGCAAGAGATAGAAAATCACTGCATGTTTAATTTCGATAACTTGCATATTTTTTTCACCGGCAATGTGTGGAATAATAATTGATTCGGTATAAATTATAACCTGAACTTGTACATCGTTAAAAGAAACTTCAAATTATTCCGAAGATTGTTCTTAGTTAATACTTTTGAAGGAGACTAAAATTACAGTTGATCTTAAAAATTTCAAAGAGTTTCAATTTTGTTTCAACAACAATTATAAGTAAAAATAAGATATTATTAAGCAACATCTTAAGCAACTTATGTAAGAACAATTGTTAGGACTTATTTTCAACTCTGCTGTTAATCTTTAAACTTTTTCAAAATGTTTTTCACAGACACTTAAATTCTGTTCATGTACAACGTAAGTCGATTAAGTTTTTATACCATGGATATTTTTTTGGTATTTTGATCTATTAAGATCATTATACATTTGTTTTGAAAGCGATGACAAAATTAAACGTTTGAAACCACAACTACTCATTTCATCTGTTACAAAACACGTGTAAGCAAACTATACATGTGAGCTTTATTTTTTTTCTTCATTACAAAACTACATTTTACATTTCTGTTTTAAAAATGTAATACAGCATGCCCGCACGACATGTGTTGGTGGTGAAGCGATGCAGTTCTATAAGACACGTTTGATTTCAAACAAGATATATGCATCGTATTGATTGTATGCCTTATACATTTTTTTTTTTTTGAAAACTTGGTTTTGCAATATTAGTTAATTTTTTTCTGGTACTCACACAAACTAAATGCCCAATCGCTTTTTCGAATTGAACTAAAATCGAATTCTTCTCCTTTTACAAATTGTACATGTTTTCACTCATACTGAAGAGTTGCGGATTCAATTCAAATAAAAGTTT